AATTCTAATGGGATCCGGTGCGTTAGTACTGATATGATCGCACTTATTTGTAGTGTATTATCTTATTATTTTTTTTTCGAAAGAAAAGTGTAGAAAATATATATTGATATGAGGCGTCAAGTGTATTATCTTACTTATAAAAAGACTTACTCGCATGCATTAGGTAGGATGGGATAAAAAATTTATGTACTCCTTACACTATACTATTCATTTTACCAAACATAGCCATCGACTAAGATATGAGAGGTGCTTTGAATAGTGTACTTTTTCTTTTGATCTTCCAAAGAACTTTCACTTGAGAACCTAAGAACGGAAAGGGAATTTATTTACAGAATCACGTCCTTCTATCTTGATACGAAAGACGGGCAAACCTTAAAGAGAATGGTTTAATTGGAAATAGTGTAAAGTTTCAAGACTAAGGCACCATGAAATAAGGAAGATGTTCAAGGAGATTAAGGTGATATTTGGGATTGCTTATTTCATGCTTAGGAATAGCTCTAAGCATTTTGTTTAAAACTCTCAGTTTTGTACCATTAAAGACAATCTCTCAATTTGTAGCATTTAAAAAATAGTGCTTATTAAGTTCTTAAAAATGACTTGAAGAAGGCAAAAATAAATATCCTATTATTAACTTTTTAGCTTCTTATTTTTTATCTAATTTATTTAATTAACTTCTTCATATCCACTTAAAATTAAAAATGATATGATAATGTAAATTACAAAATATTTACAAAATATTATAATAAGTATATATTATTTATTTATTTTAGCAATTGTTTATTTTTACTATCAGTACTTTATCTAAAACGCGTAATTTCTTATTTTAAAATAAGAATTTATTTACTTTGAGTAGTTTAAAATACTCTACTATTTTAAGCACATTTGTTTAAGGAATCTCAAACATCCTCTAAAAAGCTCAGTAGCACCTCATTCGGGAATGGTTCAAAAAGCAAGAAAGGAATGGGTAAACATTAGTGGGTGGCAAATATAAAAGACTCTTTTTTCTTTGGATAATATTATCCCGTCTAATTGTCCTTGACATAGGTGTTGTTAGGTCGGGTTTTATCTTTGTATTATAAGACTGTAAACGCTTCTTCCCAACAAGATATTCCCTTTTTCTTCTTTCTTCCTGAACTGTAATAGAATTAGGAGCATTTTTACTTTGGAAAAAAAAAAGAACTAGGAGCATTTTTTACAATGCTTACCATATTTACGAGGGGTGTCTTGGGGAATGCCTAATTGGGGAGCCTTTTCAGTGTGGGATCTTGTTTAACCTATGTACTCTTCTCCCTTTTTATTTATCAAGGTGTAATGTGTTTTAAAGTTCTTTTCTAAAAAAATGTGTTTCATGTGCTTCAGTTTCAATTTGTATTGGACCAGTTGATACACTAGTAATCAAGTCTTCAATAAACTAGTGGAGTGTACATCATCCATTAGATCAATACATGTTCCTATGCCTTACAATCTTGTCTAACTTTCTTTGCTTTCGCGACCCGCTTCTTCTTTGTTATAGAAAGCACATCTTCCTATTCCATTCTTTTTTCATATCTCCTTTAATGGGAATAAAAAAGGAACTCAATGAAGAACTAAAACCTGGCTCAATTACCAGTTTGCATCCATGGCTCTATGGTTAAACACTTAACCTACGTAAAAAAAGTGGCAAATTCACTGGTTTGCTTCTTCCTTAACGCCCTTGAGTACATTGGTGGTGAAGTAAAGATAACTCTAGGGAAGGACTAAAGGATCATATAGAGATTTAGTACCAGTTTTGCATATATATAGATATATATATATATATATATATTTATTTTTGGAGGAGGAGAGATTTTCAGTTTGCAAATTAGCAACCTTTGGTTTTTGCTAGTGAAAAAAAGGAAGCTCAACTAAAAATGTTATCAAATTTTCCTTTCTGAAAATTGTTTCCCATTTTTATCATTGAAAATAATCTCTATGGAAAACAAAATTGGAGATAGGAAATGGAAACACAAAAGATAGAATTTTTAGGTCTAAATGCCCCTGTAGATTCTATAAATTTTCATATTTTTTTTTCACTAGTTCTTTTATGGCAGGTAAGAAATAGTAATATCGGACAAGTAATTGTAGAACTACAATGATCCTAATAATATAGAAAGATAGAGAGAAAATATGAGGAAGAGAATAGAAGATTAGATAAAGGGAAATATGGGACAAAGAAGAAAACATTAGACGGAGAATGGAAGAATATTAGGCAAACATGAAGAACAAGAGAGAAAGAGGGAGAACTTGAATCTCAAGGATCATTTCAATAACTCAACATTTGAAATAATAATCTTTCTATTTCTATATTTGGAAAATTGTATATGGATTACACCCTCTTGGTGGTTTAATACTTTACTTTTTATTTCAAAAAGAAAATTTCAATAATGATCATGAATAGTTGTTTAACATAACTAAATGGAGTACTTTATTTATAACACCAAATACAATTAAACGTAGAAAATCTAGAAAATCTAGAAAATAGGAAAATAAGCTAAACAGAAAGGTAATATTAGGAAGACAAAATTAAATCTTCCTATTTCTTTTAGTATAAATTTTCCAAAATGTTTATTTTCATTAATTGGTTGTGCATCATATATCTTATTATTGAAATATACCCACTTTACATCTTCATATTCTGCATCAAATAGTTTTTTATTTCAAAAAAAAATATTTTGCATCAAATAGTATTTGTAATTATATGGCGTCCTAGAAGAAATTGTTTGAAATGATGTCATGTAAACTTCCTTTTTTTTTTTTGAAATAGATGTCATGTAAAGTTCTGATATAATGATTTGAGAAAGATAAATTAAAATGCGATTAGTTTTTGTTATTTATAGTTTCTGTTCCAATTTTCTTTTGTAGAGGTCAATTAGATAATTAATTTGAGAAAAGAAAACGAAGACGTACTGGAGTTGATTTCTTGATGAATATTTAAATTCATAAGCCATGTAAAACCAACAGTAGTAACATTAATCTAGGTGCTGCTTGACTGATTTGAATATACCAGAAACCAAAAAGTGGTGAGAGAAAGCCCAAAAGCCAGCTAATTGAAATCTGTACTAGATGTCTGAAAAAGAAGCAAATCCAAATCTAGTTGCTTTAATTGCAGTGGCTTCACCTTTCCTTATATTTGAAAATAGAGGATCCTTTAAATTGAATTCTCTTCTCTAAGTTTATTTGAGTCCTCTTTGTTGAATATTTGTGCATCATCAATACAACCATAGGATCAAATGAGAAATCAATTGAGGAAGAAGATGGGTGGTTTCTTCTCAGAGAATGATGATATTTTCCAAAATATATTATCAAGGTTACCAGCTTTATCCTTTGCATCTGCAGCATGTGTTAACAAATCCTGGTACAATGGTTGCGGTCGAATTCTTTCGCGCCCTAAACTTGTTTCTGCACTCTCTTGCAACCCTTCCCTTCATGTAAGTAATTGATGTTTATTATTATTGATATTAAATTCTAACCATATAATGATCGTTTTGGTTGCTTAGAAAAACATAGAAATATATTAATTGAAATTGACGGAACTTCGAGGGATAAGTTAAGGTTATTCTTTTCCTTTTAAGTCCCATCGGAATCCGAAGATCTAAATATGCACAAGTGCGACATATTTCTTTATGCTTGACTAAAAATATAACTATAATAAAAACGAAAAGAAAACGAACTGAAATGCAATTTTGGTATTTGACATACAAAAATAGACTATTTCATGCTTATTCAGTAGGGTAGGTTCTGTTTATTTAAGCGAGATGAATATTACTTGTTTCTGAAATTATATTCTTAAAATCTTCATAGAGTTTCTTTTTAGTAATAAATAGAACTAATTGAATCTTTTGATGTGTCCTACATTCTGTTAGCTTGCTGTAAGAGAGGTTGTTGATAAGGTGCTTTTGGAGCCCATATGGCCGCACTTTGCCATTGCCTTTATAGGCACACAATTTAACTTGCAAGCTGCGCACCAACTTGTAATATTCTACTTCATAACCTTCCATCTATTGCACTGCATTTTTAGGAGATCTGGTTTTGTTTTTCGATTTCATTTGTTCTAATATTCTTCGTGATATTATTTGAATATACATTTTTTCAAACAAAAAGAAGAGGCTCTTGGTTTGATTGTGATTTTAATGCAGATCACTGAAAGATTGGGATCTAGAACCCCGACCGTGACAAGTGCTGTTTGTGGCATCATTGGTATGGATGCTTGTACTGATGAACTTAGAGAGGTTTGTCATTATTTTTTCCTAGTTCCTTTCATGTTAACGAGTTAAGTTCTTTAAGCAAAATCAAGTAGGGGGATCTCACATTTTCTTATCAAAATTTTCCATAGGTGAAATGGGACTTTGTTTATCCTGGAGGTCCAAATGGGATGGGACTTAATGCAGTTGAAGATCTTGATTATGGGATTGTTTTGGCTGTTGGTTTTTTTCCGGGCCTAAAATTTGATGTTATCCCGCTTTTGCGCCCAAAGGGGGTATGGTTGCTGTCTTTAAGATTCTTTAGGTTATGTCCTAAAAATTTCTTCCTGTTCTTTGTTGTTGCTGGAATATATAAAATTCTTAATGAATATGCGTTGTAAACAAAAAGATCGTTAAATACATAGAGTCCTTTTAATTTGAAGAGGTAAGAGGTGGCAGTGAGAAATGTCAATTTGATTTGTCATCAAGAAAAGACATCATGTTATGTGGTATTGCGATTTCTATTTAACTTCCGTTTTTCTTTACATAGAACATAAATAGCGCTCTTGATTGTTTGTGCATAACTGATGTTGACTTTTTCTTTTTCTCTTGGAATTAGGAATGCCAAGGTGCTATGGTTGATAAGTTTGTGATGGATATTAGGGAGTATGCAACCACTGTCTCGGGTACCAAAGACCCAGCTGGCATTATATTATTTGGAGTGAGTTGATGCTCCTAATTAGAGATTAATCTCTAAACTAGAAAGAAATTCCATCATTTTATTTCTTCAAGTCAGGTTGATTATTTTCATTGCTAATGTGTTAAATGAATCATGTTTAGGATCAACGCGTCGATGTGAAAGCTGTCATTGCAGAACTTGGTGAGCATTTATTACATCCATATTTTGTTTGATTGTTCCATATTTTTTATGGTTTCTTGGTTCTGCAATTGAGTTATTTTCACGAAGTGAAGATTTTTCTTATGGTCGATCAAGCTTTATTTGTAGTAGTTCTATCCACAATAAACAGATCTTCTTGCAAGGCTCACTGAATGTATCAACAATATGAAACTGAAGTAAATTGCAATTTTGTTGGATTTTTTATGCAAAAATCTTTCATTTACTTGATATCAGTTTGATGTTATATTGCAGATCTTACACATGGCTAAACAAGTTGAATTGCCTTTTATATTTTTCAGATTATGCCATGCCTAAGGAAACAGTTATTGTTGGTGATACAAATGGCTGTTTTTTGTGGAACAGTGTGGATAATTCTCAGAATTACTGGGGGGATCAGTATAACTTTGATATTGTTGGCCTTGTATTTGCAAGGGACAAGAACAAATCTCAAGGTGCAATGTCTCTGCTGTAGAATTTTGAGATGTTTGAAATTGATAATAGGTCTCTGAAGTTACGTTAGAACATGGGAAAAATTTTCAGAAATTAATCATTAAACCTTGTAAGAAAAATTGTTATTCTTGTTACGTGTTATAAGAAAGAAAGAAAGAAAAACTGAAAAATATTGGAAAACCTCTTGTTTACATGCTTTCTCAAAAGTTAATAAAGTGATTTGTGCTTGTTCTTGTGGTTGTTTAAGCTGTTTGAATGAGGTTTCAATTGTTTGTTAGCAATTGAATTCAGAAAATCTGTTATAGAAACTGGCAAAAACCAAGAAGAGCTAAAAAGAGGGAAAAAATTAATGCATTAAGGATAATTTCATAGAATTTTCAGGAGAAAAGCAAGGGAAGATAATGCACTGAAGTTGATCTTATAAACTTTTCTTTTGTATGTGGATGCTTCTTCATTACTCTCTATGTGCAGGTGCGGTGCTCTTAAAAGAATTGTAGTAGATTTGGGTATATTATGCTTTCCCCTATTGATAATTTTTTGATAATTCATATTCAGTACCTAGTTTTATGTGCTTCTTGTTGCTTTCTTATCGAAATTCATATCATGCTTATTTTGAAATTGAACTTATTTGATAAACAACTAGATATCTTTTTTTTCTGTTTCTTGGCTTCAATATAACGTTAATATTGTCTTATTATGATGCCTTGCTACTTCCTTACATTTTCATACTATTGTCATTTGTTATTAGTTTGTTCATTTGTTTGCAGTTTCCTACTAATGTCTTAGTTATATCTTTTTTTTCTCTTCATTTCTTTTTTAGACGTCTCGTTAGTAAATGATCATAACTTTTCGCTTAACTTCTTCTATTTTGTTTAAATTATTAGATATTGGAGAAATCCAATTCCATGTTGCAATGTCAACTGGTATAATACCATTTGGTCCCGAACTGCGGGTAGTTTCTGTTGAAGATAGAGGTGCAAAATATTCATGGTTCACTGCTAAAATGGAAGGAGGGAATGGCACTCTAGATGCCCAAGGACTTTTAGATGATGTTGTTGAGCAGGTATGCTGGTCATAGATGACTCATGTTATTTGATTTTGCTTTTCTAGTATGCTTTTGCTTAACTTAAGCGCAATTATGACACAAAGCATCTCTCTTGGGGCCAACTGAATAAAGTAGATTTATTATTTTTTTGCATAAAAGAAAATACCTATATTATTTTTAAATTCAAAACACCCACAAATGATAGTCAATCCTGTTAGAGATATTTCCATTTTATTTTGTTTTTCTTATCCCTTTTTGATAATTGTACATGATTAAATATTCCTTCATAGCATTGAAACCGAAAACAACTATTAAGTCATAGTAAAGTAAAAAGCACTAGCTATAGTTTTAAACAGCAAAAAGACACAAGTTCAGTTCAAATAAATGGTATTTTAGGTAATTATATTGATATAGACTTCTGTAATTCATAGTAGAAGTTTTTGTTGCTACTCTATTTTTCTTCATTTATCTGAGAAAAAGAAACATATCTTTTTTTTTTCCAAGTTTTGTTGGCATAGAGAGAATATCTTTATTTTTAAAGAAGAAAAAACAAATATTTTTTCTTCAGATTTGATTGCCATGCACCATAAATTGATCTATGAAAATTCCTTTCCGGAATACACTTTTGGCTTAGCAACTGATTAACGCATGGAAAGGGACATTTTATTTTATTTTATTTTCATACAAAGATCTTCTATAGAGGTTCCAGTACCATACAGTTTCTTCTGGACGTTTCTTTGGTTGATTCCTTTTATTTCAAGTTAGATAATTCATAAATATTTTGTTAGATTTTATACATATAGTTTGGTTAGTTTGCTAGAGTATATTTCCATTATTATCAAAAGACAATCTTTGTTATCATCAAACTATGGGGACACATGCTATGTCCGGAATGTTGGCAATATCCACTGCATCAGAGAGAAGTTAGTCCTTTTTTTTGAAATAACAGAGAGAAGTTAGTCTTTAATAATCATTTAGAGCTCTCTCTACTCTCTACCCTTCTCATCTTTCATCCATGGTGAATGATTGATGCAGGTGGAAGATCACTTGCACAATTTGTATGTTGGGGTCGTGAAAGAAAGAGAATCTTCATCTGGTTCAGAGAATTTGGAGTTGAGGAAGTACAGAGTTTTCCATGAAGTTTTAGGGTAAGATGCCAGAACAATATTTTGCTTGGTTATCTATATTTGCTTACTTAGTTAAACAGAAGGTTGAATATAAACTTCAAGAAAGATAAGCTATTAACAATTTCACTGAATTTGGTGCCTTGGTAAAAGAATAGTCTGAAATGTGAATAAGATTTCTTTTGGCTAATCGGGCAAGAGAGTATTGGAGTCTCATCACTATATCTATGCGTTCACTAGCAATTAGATGGGCTTGATTATAGAATTTAAAGTCACTGCTAAAAACGTTAGTTGATTTAAAATTCTAACTGGAAATATCTTATTTTCTTTGCCATGGATAGAGCCTGAACTTAGTGTTATATTTCAGACTCTTGACCTCCTTTCCTTGTCCCATGAGGTAACCTTGGTCCTGGGTCGAAAACAAATCTCAAGAGTGTTGGAAAATAGCATTTTCTTGTTAACTAAATTTAGAAGGATACGGTTTCCTTTGATAGTCAAATTTCCATACTCTGCAAAATTTAATGGAAATATATTAGTGAACAAGATTGTTTCTTTGAGGGCTATGTTTGAAATAAATTAAAAAACAATGTGGAATTTATTTGCAAATATGTATTCATCTCAACTAGAACATGATGAAAGTTTTATTTAAATGATAAAAAATTAGCTTATATTGTATTTAATTGGAATTTGAATAATACATTTTAAATTCCATCAACTTAAATTCAATTTCTGAATTTGTTTCAAACATAGTCAAGTATAAATGTTATATTCTCCTAAAACAGATTAGTGTTTGTTTAAGGATTCTAGTAATATATTCTGGATAGCTTGTATTTCTTTTTGGCCTGGGATTACTATTTTAACTCCTTTTCTACTTATAAAGTTTAAATCAAAAATAAAAAAGGGCTCTGTATCCAAGAAAAAAAGAAATTTATTTATTGGAATTTTATGTTTTTCAGAGGAGAAGACGGCGGCTTCGTTGTTGATGGTCACGGCATCGAACCTAATGATTCCTTCCTATTCTACCACACGGATTCTGAGACTGCAAAATGTTCTTGCTTCAATGCCTATAAGAATCTTGGACATCTAAAGGAAGCTCTGAGTCTCAAAAATCATGATGGTGGAGGAGGTGCTGAAACTAGTGAAGTGTTTGGATGTGTGAGCTTTTCTTGTTACCGTTCTGGTGAGAGATTTTTTGGACATCCAAAAGTTCTTACTTACCCCTTCTGGAAGAACTTCCCTGGCACTCCATTAATAGGAGCATATTGTCTTGAGGAAATTGGACGTGAAACTGAACAGCTTGTTAGTCAGAAGGATGAAGGAGCAGAAAGTAAAGCTATAGAGGCAATGGGTGAAAAGTATGATGATGAAGAAGAATGCTCAGTCCGCTGTCCCATGCATGTTTATAGCTCAGTTTATTTATTGATGTCATATATTCCTCCTGGATCTCCGCCCCTGGAGTTTTAAGTTTCTGAAGTGTTTGTTTCTTTTCTATCTTTAAACTTCAATAATTTATATCTGGAACTTGGTTACATAGCCCCTAGAGTTTTAAGTTTCTGAAGTGTTTGCTTCATTTCTATCTTTATAAACTTCAATAATTTGTATCTGGAACTTGGTTACAGAGCCCCTAGAGTTTTAAGTTTCTGAAGTGTTTGCTTCTCTTCTATCTTTGAACTTCAATGATTTATATCTGGAACTTTGTTACAGAGATTTCTCACTTGTATGTTTGATGTTAGGACTGGACTACCAAATAGTAAGAGTGGCAATCGTGAAAGTGTTGTTTTTATTATGCAGGGGTATAGAACAGAATTTTATGGAGTCTAGATTTCAAGTAATTGAATTAATGATTGCTCAACAAGTTTTCTTCTCCTCCCCCCAGGAATCTTTTCGCCTGCTTATCTTTGAGGCTGGAACAAAGAACCATACTCTTACCTGTAACATGATGCTCATCGTATAAAAAGATTTTCTACTCTATTAGCTAAGTTTTCAGGCCTGATGAGAAATTTCCGACTCAGGTTGCCAGAAAACCTGCATAAACACACAAGCAAAGAATAGTAAGATGCAACAACCAAAGGAACTTCACTCATAATTTTTTTATTTTATATTCTAAATTTATATTTTTACTTACTGAAAAAAAAAATCAAATAAAAGGTTAATATAGCTTGTTGGCAATGTAGTTCTGCCATAACCGCTGACTGTGGGTATGGAACTCTTCGCACCAGTGAATGATAAATAACCACTTCTTTACCGGGTCGTTTTTTCCTTACACCCCTGAATCCTCATTTTTTATCAGTCTATTAACAACTAATAAAGAAGTCAGGTAATAATTTCATGCTTGCATCAGTTTCTACTTGGTGATATGCTGTTGTTAAAATCACTTTATCATCATGATTTTGGTCCTCAGTTGGGCTCAATCTCTGATCAATTCTTAATTTTATTTCATGTAAACATTGAAAATTTAAAAAAAAAAAAAAAAAAAAATTGAAGTGGAACTAAAAACAATTCAAAGATAAAAATTATAATTCATTTACAAGTAAGATTTCTTTTTGGGGAGAAATTTTACTTGTGAAAATGAGTATAGATCTTAGCCTTCAGAAAAAATATTAGTCTAGCAATTAAGTGAAAGAATAAGACAGAAACTGAATAGAATTACACAAATAGATATGAATTCTGACGTGGTAAAATTCAAAATCTCATCTCTTCCTGAATTATTGTAGATAACAAACACAAAAATACAGCAAAACCCAAAAATCCCCATCCTTGTCACATCTGTCTAAGTAACAACCATAAATATACTAAAATACCACCCATGGAGAAAATGCTACTCAGTAAAAAGGTTGGAAATAGAAAAGACAAATCCCATGTCATGTTCCACGAGTAAACTAGTTTTAGTAAAGAACAACCACAGAGTCTGAAATTAGAACTGAACAGGAGGCTGCCATTTCTTCATTGAAGAAGTACCTTCAAGGAGAATGCAGACAAGGTAAGAGTGACGGAGTTGCTGATTTTCTCTCAAGCCCTCTTCTTCCTGGCTATTGCAGGTCTCTTGCCAATGATTGTGGCACTCTTAGCAGACTGCGGCACAAGCCCGCGCAGAATGGCTAGAATGCTGAAACCTAGAAAGGGCAAGTACATATTCATCAATGTATCGGATGCCTTGCCAGAACCCTTCAGCTCTCCCAATATAGTAACCTGAAAGTTACAATCTCAACGCTTATGAGGAAGAGGAATATAAGATGTAAAAATAACAAAATCCACATTAACACTGAACTGTATGTTTAAGAAACCTCAACTTTCCATCACATGAACCCATATGTACAAGTACAGCCACATTTGACATATACCCTGAGAAAATTCTATGATATCCTCAGATACTGGCATACATCTGTGAGATACAAGTGCTATGAGTCTTAAGTAATTCATCTTCCAACAAATTATAATATATACATTTGTAGCAAGAGACATAACCAAAAGAGATTGGTACCTACCACACTTTGCAGAACCATAGTTTTTCTCATCTTATAAGGAGCTAGACTTGTTATGATATAAGTAATAGAGACAGAGTTTAATTATTTCTATCAGTTTAAATTGTTTAATAATTTAATCTACGATTTAATATGGGATCTAAAATTTTAATTTTAATTACTGTCCAAAATCTGAATTTTAAAAATAGTTTTAGTAGCTTTTATTTCCATAAAGAAAAAATTCAGCAGATTTCACATGAGGGGCGCTGGTAGTATATAATCGGTCACTATCTTTTTTAATAGATATAAAGGATAACAAATGGATGTAAATTGTCCTAATAACTGTTAACAGTTACCTTAAGACAACCTTCAGAATAATAGTTCATAACTAGCTTCACTACAAGTGTGTAAAGATCACATAAGCTCATAAGGATTTCAATGCATAACAAGAACAATGAATTGCGAATTTATGAATTCGCTAGAATGTAAATGCAATGTTCTAATTCCACTGAAATTATCTGTGAACTTAAGTTTTATCATCTTTCTAGTAAAATTTTCATCCCTTGAGTTCTATAAATTTCTAATAAAACTTTTATTCCTCCAAATTGAAATAATTGTAAATTTTTTAAATGAATTTCATAAAAAATATCTTTTTTATTTGTTCCAAACATAGCATTTAACTTGAGTGATGTAGCCATCTCAAAATGGGGCCTTTATTTTCCTTCCTCATTCTAAAGTAGTTATTTTCTTTCAAAACTTTGGTAACATTATGCGGGAAGATAATACAGTAGCCGCGGAACAGAGTTCATCCATTCGCTGGCCAGCACTATGTACCCATTCAGGACTTTAAACAAACACATTTGCACCAAAATACACAGAATAAATATCATTTTCATCATAGTAAGTTAACCATCAAATACCCCAAATAATCAATCAGGCCTCTGCAAAAACTAATTCATCAATATAAGCAAATAATACAAGACAACTCCAAAAATAACTCCGAATCGATCCTTTTTGGACATGGAATGAAGCACCAAATATCAAAAAGAAAATATGCTTTTAAAATGAAGGGTGCAAAAGAAAAGAAATAATTACCATAGACGTGAAGGTAGAGACTCCATAAATCAAGCAAGTGCTCTTAACCCAGGACTTGCCCGCCAAGATTCCATAGATGTTGACAAGCGAGAGGGGCCATTGAAGAAGAAGCTCGATCCATACAAGAGCGACGAAAAAATTAGGCTTCTCCTCGACTAGATAATCACCATATTCGCGGCTGTACCATTGCTTCGTTTCCACGAGGAGATCCGGGAAGATGGTGGTTGGAAGACAAGTCTGGGCGTCGAGAAGCGGTGCTGCCAGCGCGATCACCAGAGAGAATAATAACAGTATGGCATCCACTAGTTTGCCTAGAGCTCCCATTTTCTTCCTTTGTTGCAATGTCGGGCCTTATTTTTGTAATTCTGCGGGGTGATCGCTGGTTTCCACAGGCACAGGAAACAGTGAAAACACAGATGGGATCAGAAATGATATTAATTTTTGAAGTCTGTACATTAAGTATTCAACATAAAGGATAATATAATAATAAAGATAAAACCCATTTATAAATTTTATAAATTATTACCAAGTTCAATTATAATGTGTTCAAGCGGAACTTGAATGAAGAGGTTCAATTTGTTTGTTTGTTGTTTGGATCGTATGTTCGTTGTATGTGAGAGGCTTTAGCTCAGCCTGGCCGGCCTTTAGAGTCTTTAAAACCAAGACTTCTTGACATCTATACTCTTTACCAATATTGATTAATAAAGTCAATGCTCCAAAAACTATATATATATATATATATGTTGATTAATAAAGTCTAATCACTATTAATCATCAAAGCTTAAAATTTTAAATAATAATGACCTCTTTCCTTGGATTTAAATTATAATTAATTATGTAATGCAATGTAATATACTCAATTATATATTTAAAATGTTTTAATCACGATTCTAATTTTTAATTTAATTTTATTATTATATTATAAGGTTGATTTTTTATTATATAAAAAAAATAATTAATTTTAATTATTTTATTTATTATATTATAAAAATTATTAACTCTTAATAAGACAATAAAAAAAATATTAAAAAAATTAAATTTCTTATAATTTTAAGTGAAAATCAAAGATCATACTTCAAATTTCTTTCATATAAATTGATAAATAAATTTCATAAACAAACTCTACTTCTTCCTAACAAAATCTCAATTACTACATCTGAGTTCAAGAGTCTGAATCTTACCATCACACTCTGAAATTGCAAAAAGCAAACTCCAAACTATTCTTGAAACTATAAAAGAGAAAATTGCTTGTTTGTTTTTTTAAGCTGTAAATAGAGAAGAAACATTATTACCTCTAACAAGAGTTGAACAAAAGGCTACCATTTCTCTAATAGAAAAAGTAAAGTAAGACTTATTTATTGTTAAGAAATCCCATAAACAACAAAATTGACAACAAGGATTTATAGTTCATAAAAATGGAGTTTTCCATTTATCTATCACACCCTCTTCTTCTTTGTTACTGCAGATCTCTTGCCAAAGACTGCTGTACTATTGCAAGAGTACAATAGATGCAGAATTGTTAGAATGGTAAAACCCAAAAATGGTAAGTAAATCTTGATTAACTTCGATATCTTGATAGAACTCAACAGCTCTCCTAAAATAGCAATATGAAATTTGCAATCACAACGTACAAGAGAAGGAGAAAATGCACAATGAAAACATGATGTGAATCTTAGAAGCCTCGTATGATGGATTTGGAACACATGAAAAAAAAATCCTAATGATAAATGGGCCTAGCAAAAAAATATGGATGAAGAGACTTGAGAAAGACTTCCTTAATTATATCAAGGGATGATTTAGTAAGAAAGAAGGGCTTGGACCGTGCATGGAAGCCCATAAGATGATGAGAGTAAGTCCATGGCATGAATGTACGTACATCATCATCCAAATGGAAGAGAAAACCATGGAAAAGGGGGAAGAAAATCCTCCAACCCATGAGGATTCTTTCCAACTCGAAGGGATTGCCTTCCCAAAGGGAAATTTTCATCTTCTTTCATCCATATATCAGTTTAAACTGCGAGGATCCCATCCCTTAAGAAAAGAATCGGTCACCACTTCAAGATCTTCTAAACCGATCATGATCTCAAGAAAAAAGAAAAACTAAATCCCATGGCTTATGTTTAGGAAGATATAGGCAGGAATAATCCTTTCCCAAACTGCTATAATATTCCTTAATTCTCTCTCAATCATCTCCACAATTAATGAAAATCTTCACTATTTAAAAAGTTTCCATAAAAAAAGATGGCATCTTTATTTTAATTATGATTTTATTCTTATTTTAGTTTGATTCAAAGAAACGCAAATATATTGTTAGTAAGACAATGAAAAAAATTTATATAATTTAAATTTCTTATAAATTTAAGAGAAATTGAGACATTATATTTTAAATTCTCTCATAAAAATCAATAAATAAATTTCATAAACAAACTCCACTTGTTACTAACAAAACCTTAATCACAGTTTTAGTATAATCAATAAATTAAAATTATAAATACATCACCTGCTAATGATACACAATAATAATAGTAACTCAATAACTAGACCAGTTTTAGTATTAATACTAGTAGAGCTTGGCTAATCAGTTATAGTCAATATTATCTCAATTGAGAAATGAGGCACAAAATTTATGACAACCTTTAAAGTGAAGGAGTCAAAAGAAATAGAGCGACTTCCATTCCAATGGAAGTGAAGGTAGAGATTCATAGATCAAAACCCCATAGATTTTGACAAGAGAGAGAGGCCATTGAAAAACAATTTGGAGCCTAACAAGGGCAACGAAAAGATCAGGCTTGACTTCAACTACACAGTAACTGAACTCTCTGACGCCACTGCTTTATATGCAAAAACCGGGAAGATGGTCATGGGGAGCGGTAGAGAGTAGAGGAATACTGGCAAAGCCACCCATTAACAGTCTACTGTTTCCTTTTCTTTTTTTTTTTTTTGGAAAGTAAAAGATGCTGCCCACTGTTTTGTTCATCTTGGTTAATTCATTCTCAATTACTTTTTAAACATAATAATTTCATATCAGATTTAAGATAGAGAATATTCAAATCCCCTAAAGATGACCATGAAAACAAAAGAAAAAAGAACTTCTTTACTGATAAAAAAAAAGGGAAAGTATGACCAACCAACCTAGACCTAGACCTAGTCAACCCTGTTTGAACTTGACAAAGATCCTATTTGAACAATAATCATGGCTTCAGAAAATCCATCACCCTGCCCCAGCAAGCAGAATGCAGGTAGAAGAACTATCTTCCTGTAACAGGAATAAACATGGACTACTGTTGAATGCAGATTCGAGCCTGTAATAGATATAATTCTCATGGTGATAAAAGGAAAACTTGCCTTTAAACTTCAATGGTGACGTTTTAAACAGGACAACCATACTCTTCAGTATCTTCAATTACAAGAACATGCTTCAAATGCTCATAGTCTTTTTTTACCAAGGAAATATCATTCAAGTTAGTAGGATCTGCTCACCTTTTTATTCAACAAGTACCAGTCTTGACAAAGTTAAACACAAAACAAGTACCAATTCCACTTCAAAGAATAAGTCCTTGAATGAAAAGGGCAAATAATAAATACTGAAATCAATCACCAAATCTAAAGTCTGGAGTATTTAACCAACTGAAAAAAAAAATCACCCCTTTTTCAAGAAAATATAAAGTTCTGTTATAAAAGATAGAAGAGCAATCAAATGGACATGCCAGCAGATTTTGCCAAAATAGAAATGAAGATATCTACAGAATTAGAGAGAATCAGAAACCTTACATGCACTTAAACAACATACAGAAAGGAAAAAACAAAAGATAAACAGAAGAAGTTAGGTAAACGAAATTCTAGCTTACATAATCAGTGAAAACATGCTACATCAGTTTGAGACTTGCAAACTCTTCACTTAAGCGCCACTCACCTCCATTTTGATTAGAGATAATGTGAACAAAAGGAATGCATATATAGATAAAAGTTGCAATTAAGCTTGTGCATGTCTTAACAAATACACATATTGATACATGAAGATGAGTCCATAAGTGAAAAGAAAATGTGCTTGTTGACTGTCCATAAGCTTCTAAATTTTTTTATTCAATGAGATTAACAATAACAGGTAAAAAATGATCAATTGAATGATTAACAAATGTCTGAGGATAAAAAATACAATAATGAAGTAAACTAACTAACTAGAATCAAAACGCCTTATCAGAGAAAACAAGACGAACCTTGTTGACATTTGTTGTAAGGATGTATTCATGCTAGCTAAAGGGGAGCCAAGTGAATTCACCCTCTTTGGACACCAGTCATCTTCTTGTTAGGTTGCTGTATCCGTGATGTCATGGAAGGCACTTCTTCAATTCCAATACTGAACTCACTTTTTGCTATAGGGGGTTAACAATTTTTTAAGGAAGGACAATGAGCTTAGTTGATTGTTTCAGGAGCAATTCTAGCCTGTCTTTTGAAATTTGCAGTATGGACCAACTACCAGTTTTCCACAATAATTTAGGTCCTTGGTAAGTTTAAATTGATATCAGAAGTATTTATGATCAGGCAATTCATTTCATCATTTTTTTTCTGCTGGAGAATATCATATATGTTCTATAGCATTGAGCTGTACCATAAGTATTCATAACAAAGCAATCCTACTGGATACTATTTATGTATGTTCTATATAACAGATTATAATGTCGTACAGAGAAAGCACTTGAATGTTAGTTTCATTCCCATTTTCCAACAAACAAAGAACTTCTTCCAGTATGCAAGCATCACTGAAGAAATGGAAC